GTATCCTGTAACACCRGATAGAATTTATAATATTGATGAAACAGGTGTGAGTACAGTAGTTGATCCACCTAATGTTGTGGCTCAGAAAGGTGTTCGACAAGTTGGACAAAATGTCTCTGCAGAACGTGGTCAAATGATAACARCATGCATGACTATTAATGCTGTTGGTCAATCATTGCCACCAGTTTTCATATTCCCTAGAGTAAGAATGAGTGATCTACTTATGATTGGAGCTCCTGACGGTAGCTTAGGACTTCCTAATTCAACACAAAGTGCTTGGATAAATTCAGCTCTTTTTGTTAAAGTGCTTGAACACATTAAAAATCATACTAGATGTACTAATGAAGACAAAATTTTACTTTTAATGGACAACCATGAGTCACATTGTTCAGTTGAAGCTGTTAGTTATGCTAAAGAAAATGGTATTGTGTTGGTAACATTTCCTCCTCACTGCACACATAAGTTGCAACCACTTGATGTTGGAGTTTTTGGTCCATTTAAATCAAAACTTAAAATTGCACAAAACGACTGGCTTACTATATAATAATCCTGGGAAAACTATAAGAATTCATGATTTGCCAAGCCTAACTAAAATAGCTTTTATAGAATCTTTTTCAGTAAAAACTATTGTTAATGCGTTTGCCAAGCCTGGGATATGGCCGTTTTCAAGATTAGCTTTTAGTGAAGATGATTTTGCTGCAGCTTATGTTACAGATAGACCTGACCCAAATTCCACTCAAACTGTAAATTTACAAATTCAACCAGATATTAGTATTTCTAGAAACAACCAACCAAATGAAAATGTATGTGATTTTGATATGATAAATTCTCAAACAGAAGTTCCTACTTTTACTGATCTATTAGTAAATTCTACTGAACAATGTTGAACTAATATTAATGCTMATTCTGTTACAAGTGCAGAATTAGATTCAACAATACATGAAGAATTAATATCCCCAGAACATGTGCGACAATTTCCTAAAGCTGCACCTCGTGTTGAAAGGAAAGGGGGCAAAAAAAAAGGAAAAGCTAGAATATTAACTGAAACTCCTGRAAAAATCCGAATTGAACAAGAAACGCAAGAGAGATTAAAACGGAAACTTCCTGCAATTGATAAAATTAAAAAGAAAAAGAAATCTAATAGCTCACAACCAACTACAATTACATCTAAAAAAGTAAAGAAAAATCTCAAAAAAAGACTATTCAGTTTTGATTCCAAAAGTGATACTGATGAAAATGATCCTCCTATGATTTTATTAAATAACGATTCAGATAATGAAAATTTAAATTGTCCTGTTCACTTTGGGGATTTTTTATTGGTTAAGTATGAAGSTAAAAAAATCTATAAATATTTTGTTGGCTGTGTTGAAGATATTAACAATGATGACATTGAAGTGTCTTTTTTAAAAAGAAAAATGGGAGATACTTTTTACTATCCTACAGATCAAGAAATTGATAATGTACCTCAGAGTTGTATAGAAAAAATTTTGCCAAAGCCAAAACCTGTTGGGGGAAGTGAACGTTCGGCATTTTTACTGAAATTTCAAAATGTTGACTTTACAAAATACAAAATGGGTTAAAATAATATTTTAAATAATGAAATGTTTTTTTACAAGGTCTTTTTTTAATAAGTAACAATTTTAAAAGGATAATTACTTTATTTTTTATTTGCTAAGAGTCATTTAGGAAAGTTTTATAACTAGRTGTTCGAACGCGATTGACGTCACGGCGACGCTTCTATATTATTAAAGCTGCTATCCAGCCTCTACGTCGCGCGATCGGACGATGACGACAAGTCATCCCTCTCCTTGTCATATTATATTGCCGGCCGATGTCCACGACTCTCACTCGTCT